GGCTTTTTCCACTGCCTCATAACCGCCTGTCAGCGCTGGGAGTGCAGCGGGCTGGCCGGGGCCCTCGCCCGGCTCGTCAGCTCGTTCCTTCGTAATTGGCGGCCCTACGAAGCCCCGATATCCATCTGTTACCCGCGTCAGCGATAAGGATGTGTAGCAGCTGTCAGAGGCTTTCTCTAGCCAAGGCCGGGAGGGGAAGCGGGTAGCAAATGTACTGCCTTGGTGTGCGTGAGGTAGGTTCCTCAGCAGGACAGCTGGGAGGTGAGTGCTCCTGCCTGACAGGCCGCAGTACGCGATTGCTCTGAGGCGCTACTGACTTTATGGGCGGGGGGGGCCCGGTTTGCCTGGAGCGCTGGGAATCCTGTCACTGGTGCACGGAGCTGTACTAGGAAGAAAAGGGCAGGTGAAGCATCCACGCCGCACTGGGTTGCGTGTGGATTGGCCATATTGCCGCATGCAAAGCTGTAGGTTGTGTCTTACCAGCTGTAGAAAGTGGTTTGGTGTTTTTTTTTTTCTAAAAAGTCTGTAATTAACACAGAGCATGAATGCCAGTTACGCTTAGAGGAGTAGTGCCTGCTTTGTCCAATTTACTGCGAAGGTAACCTTCAGGTGTAGCACAGTAAGGGCATGTTACTTTGCTAGGGTTGGGGTTTTTTTTGACACTAACCCTTGAAAGCCCTCTTATTAAAGCCCTGCAGAGACATAATTCCTTTTCAGAGGAAGTTTAACTTAAACTCTCCATTGGCTATTACAACCTGAGCTAGAAAAAAACTAACTAATTGAAAAGCAGTAGGAAAAAAAATCTGTTTTTTTGTTAGTCGAAGGTTGTCAAATGAAGAGAGAAACAGACTGAATTTTCATATTGTGGACACAATACCGGAAGGCATTTGTTGATTTATAAAGTTGATGGTGTTTTTGCAGTGTCCTTAAGTAGTTATTAGTTTTAATTAGTATTTATTTAGCTCTCACTCAGTAATGACCAGAAGTCTCCAGCATACTGAAATGTTGTCTAAGGAAATGACTTAAACTCTTGATATTTCAAACCACTAGTTGAAAGATAATTCTGTTAATATATGAAATAATACCTACAGATGTATCTTTGTATTTTTACACTAATTAATTAGATGAAGCTAGTAGCTGGGGAATTAGCCTGCTCAGGTGATACCTTTTTCTTTTTCTTGGTTTTGTTTTGGTGGTTTTTTTAATGTTTTGTTTTAGCATTCTGAATTAATTATCTTCATTTTGGTTCACGAAATGCCAGTGAAATGAAGCTGTAGACACAAACTGCCACTGTTTAAAAAGCAGAGAAGTTAATGATAGCAATGAATGAACCAAAGTCCAGAGAAGCAGACAGAGGGACTAGTAAACTTTTTCAAGATAGCACCACTCATTCCCTGGTTTAGACATATGTTATATGTGTACATAACAGACTTGGCCAAAAGGAATTGGGTTTTGGTTTTAAAGGAGTATCTGCTTATTTTTCAGAAAATATTTTATCACAGGTGTTATGGTGAGACTGTGTACTAGACTACACTTTTCTTAAAAGGCATTTTATGTTTTTTGATCTAATATTTTTTCCAGTGTTTCTTAGATATTATTTTTTAAAATAATGACTTCTATGAAAATGGTACATTACTGAAACGTCGTGATATTGGCTTTCTCAATACGAAATGCTGAGGACTTTCTTATTTTCAGGCTTTGAAGTATATGAGCCGTGGCTATGCATCACAGCGTACTTTAAATGTAAGTATAAAGCACCATCTGACTGCAATAAATCACTGTTTTAAATCTGTTTCTTAATCACTGAGGTTTTTAAAAAAGTTACCACAAAAATATCTGCATTGTAGACAATGTGACTTGTGCCCAAGTCACACCTTACTGCAAAATCTGGAATAAAAGTCAGATTTCCTTTTTTATTTTGTTTTGCTAATTGTTAGGTACTGTGGGACAGAATTGGTTAGAAGTGTGTCAGCTAACTTAATGCGACTATCTACCCCTTATTGGAAAATAAAGCTGATGCCAACTAATCCCTTTGAGGTTGTTTGTGTGTTATCCTGCAACTTGCTGTTACAACGTAGAAGATGAGGACAAGTATGTTACTATCGCTGAAGTGGATGAAGAGGGGGTTACAGAAACAGGCAGACCTTCTGAGTTTTAAACAAGTATAATTTGTCTTTTTTTTGGTTTAGGTATTTTCTAGTGTTTTGTTCTTTGCTTGTCTCTCTAAATAAAGAACTTGTGGTGAGACCCTGTAAAGCTTTGCGTCTAACTTCCACTGAAACCAGCACAGCTGGAGGCATTCATTGCTGCTTCTCAGTAGCCATCCAGGGGCAGCCAGAGGTCTGAAATGTGCATCTTTTTTGTGCCAGCTCCTCATGCTACTCTCACAGGGTTAGCAGGTAGACACGTTGATGTAGCACTAAGGCTCAGAGGCAAAATAAGAGTAAATCTGTTTTGAGGGGCTACTAGGTATAGAGCTGAATGTCATACCATGTCTTAAACTACTGCTTATGCATTATGCTGGGACCTGGGTGCTTTTGAATATCTCCAATGGAGACTCCACAACCTCTCTGGGCAACCTGTTCCAATGCTTGGTCACCCTCACAATGAAAAAGTATTTCCTGACGTTCAGAGGAACCCTCCTGTGTGTCAGTTTGTGCCCATTGCCTCCAGTCCTGTGCCTGGGCACCACTGAAAAAAGCCTGGATCCGTCCCTTTTGCACCCTCCCTTCAGGTATTAATATACACGGATGAGGTCCCCCTGAACCTTCTCTTCTCCAGGCTGAGCAGTCCCAGCTCTCTCAGCCTTTCCTTGTATGTCAGATGCTCCAGTCCCTTCATCATCTTCATGGCCCTTCGCTGGACTCTCTCCACCATGTCCATATCTCTCTTGTACTGGGGAGCCCAGAACTGGACACAGCACCCCAGATGTGACGTCACCAGTGCTGAGTAGAGGGGAAGGATCACCTCCCTCAACCTGCTGGCAATATTTTGTCTAATGCAGCTTAGGATGCCATTAGCCTTCTTTGCTGCAAGGGCCCATTGCTGGCTCATGTTCAACCTCGTGTCCACCAGGACCCCCAGGTCCTTTTCTGCAAAGCTTCTTTCCAGCTGGGTGTCCCCCAGCATGTCCTGGTGCATGGGGTTGCTCCTCAGATGCAGGACTTTGCACTTCTCTTTGTTGAACTTCAGGACGTTGCTGTGGGCCCATTTCTCCAGCCTGTCGAGGTCCCTCTGGATGGCAGCATGACCCCCTGGCCTATCAGCCACTGCTCCCAGTTTGGTGTCACCAGCAAACTTGCTGCGGGTACACTCTGCACCATCATCCAGATCATTAATGAAGATGTTAAATAGGATTGGGCCCAGTATTGACCCCTGGGGTACATTGCTAGTTATTGGCCTCCAACCAGACTTCATGCCACTGATCACCACCCTCTGGACCTGGCCATTCAGCCACTTTTCAGTCTACCTCACTGCCCATCTAGCCTGTACATCGACAGCTTCTCTGTGAAGATCTTATGGGAGACAGTGTTGAAAGCCTTACCAAAGTCTAGGCAGACAACGTCCACTGCTCTCCCTGCATCTGCCAAGCCAATCATTTCACTGTAGAAGGTTATCAGGTTGGTTGAGCATGACTTCCTCTTGGTGAATCCATGCTGATGACTCCTGATGATTTTCTTGTTGTTCATGTACCTGGAAATGATTTCCAGGATTAGCTTGTTTCATCACTTTCTCAGGAATCGAGGTGAGGCTGACCGGCCTGTAGTTCCCTGGGTCCTCCTTCTTGCCCTTCTTGAAGATAGGAGTGACGTTTGCTTTCCTCCAGTCCTTGGGCACCTCTCACAGTTGCCGTGACCATTCCAAGATTATCGAGAGTGACCTTGCAAAGACATCTGCCAGCTCCCTCAGCACTCGTGGGTGCATCACAGCAGGGCCCATGGATTTACGTATGTCCAGTTTGCTTAAGTATTCCCCGAGCTGATCCTCTTCCACCAAGGGTACACCTTCCTTGCTCTAAACTTCCCCCCTGGTCTCTGGGGCCTTGGATTCCTGAAGGCTGGTCTTACTAGTGAAGACTGAGGCAAAGACAGTATTCAGTACCTCAGCTTTTTCCGTGTCCTGTGTCACCAGGTCCCCTGCCCCATTCAGCAGCAGGCTCACATTTTCCCTAGACTTCCTTTTGCCTCCTAGGTGCTTTTGGAAGCCCTTCTTGTTGCCTTTGACATCCCTTGCCAGATTCAATTCCATTTGGGCTTTGGCTTTCATAACCTTGTCACTGCATGCTCGGACAGTGTCTCCCAGGTTCCTTGTCCCTACTTCCACCTTCTGTATGCTTCCTTTTTGTGTGTGAGTTTTGGTCATCCATGCAGACCTCCTGGTATTTTCACCTGACTTCCTGCTTGTTGGAATGGACTGCTGTTGAGCTTGGAGGGGGTAATCCTCAAATATTAACCAGCTTGCCTTGACCCCTCCTCCCACCAGGGCCTTGGGACTCTTTCAAGCATCATCCATCCCAAGGCTGAGCTCAGTGCGTTCCAGGTGTTCTCTCACATAAAGGGCAACCCCGCCTCCTTGTCTCCTTGGCCTGTCCTTCTAGAGAGCCCATATCCCTCCGTGGCAGCACTCCAGCCATGGGAGCCATCCCACCACGGCTTCGTGATCCCAACAAGATTGTAGTCCTGCAACTGCACACCTATCTTTAATTCTTTATGTTTATTCCCCATGCTGCATGCATTAATAAACATTATTTTAGTATTCTGAAACACTTGCAGGATAAAAGGGAAGCTGTGACATGAATGAAAGAGTAGAAGTGGATAAATTTAAAAAATACTGGTATATGTGGGCACGCGTGAGAGAGACTGTGACTTTTACTCCATGCTTCTCCTCTTAGGAGGTGGTGATAGCAAGTGCTGTAAGGACACCGATTGGATCTTTCCAAGGATCTCTTTCGTCATTGCCAGCCACTAAACTTGGTTCCATTGCAATTAAGGGAGCAATTGACAGAGCAGGTATATGTAAATATTTTTTCTGTGACAAAGAAAACCTCAAGTGGCTCAGAACAGTATCAGTCTGTGTCTTTTAAGTTGCTTGGTAAACAAAAGATCCTGTGGTTTTTGCTGCTGTAGCGTTCTTAAGTCTTTATCCAAAAATGGTATTTAAGTAAAGTTGACTGTTGGGCTGTGTTTCAATCTGAGTTAAGTGCTGCTTCTAGGAGCAGAATATTACTTAGGGATATCTGTGCTAATCCAAATCTGATGGAACATGCTAATTGTTTTTCTGGGGTGGGGTTTTATGAGACACCTAAGCTGATGCAAAGGCTACTTATTGCTGAAACCAGTGGCCCTTCCTTTTCCTGCCCATTTTTTCCATTGGCACTTATGCTTGTAGGACACCCTTGTGAGTCTATTGATGGATTCAAATTAGCAAAAAAGTCTTTTGGGGGGAGAGGAGGGTTAATTTTCTACAAATTTGGCTTCTTGAAACAGCATATTACAAGAACTTGAACACCAGGGCTGTTGTAAGAGGTGCAGGGGGAGAGCAGGCCTCTTCTGTCTGGTGGTAGCTAGCTGTGGCCTTGGCTCACCCCTGTTAAACAAACAAACAAACAGAACTGTTCCTTTAGACATAATTGTGGCAGGTAGAAAGTTTTGTGCATTTAACCATCCATGTAAATTGAGCTGATCAGGTGGCTAGTGAGACTTAGAAATGTTCGCTTTGGTTAGCTAACTGTAGCTTGTCCTGCAGGGTAACAAGGGAATTCTGTTCTGTGGGGGTCACCAGTTCACCATGTTCCATGAATATGAGAGTAGCGATCCGGCATGCACCTAACAGGGGCCTGTGTGCTGCTTTTGGCAACACAGGTTGGACATGGCATGTTTCATCAGTCTTTGATAGAAAACTTCAATGGGAAGGTTCATAAAAGGGAGTTACATCTTCCGTGCAAAGAATCCCGAATTGAAACAATTTTGTTTTATAGGTATCCCTGCAGAAGAAGTGAAAGAAGCATATATGGGTAATGTCTTGCAGGCTGGACAAGGACAAGCTCCAGCAAGACAAGCAGTCCTGGGTGCAGGTATTAATTCTCTTGATTCTGGGATTAAAGGTTTTCTGTCTTTACGTAGACAGTATAGATGATTGAGCTATGAGTTAAAGCAGAGCGGTGCTCAGCCTTTTGTCAAGACAGTCTGTGCCTGCTTTTTTCCCTGTGGTGGGTGAAGGGTGTATGTTGTGCTCATATAAGTGAGCCTAATTGTGCGTCCTCAGGAATCTATTTTCCTATGCACAATGGGTGTTACCGCCTACGGTGTTTGCAGAACCTGGAGAAGATGCTAGAGACCAGGCTGCTACTTCCAGAGCACTTTATGCTAATGATGGATGCTGCTCTTTGAATCTTCCGTGAAACTGACTTTTTTTCTTCGGTGTATCATTACTCTTAAGCCTTATTGGATAAGGGGTCTGTGAGTTTCCATAAACTGCAGATAAGAGTATGTCATTACACTCCTCTTCCTGTGGAGTCAAGCTGGCACTGGAAGGAATCACTCTATAACGTTAACTGCAGCACAAATGTTGGGGTTCAGGAATTATTTTCTTCTCCCTTTTGCTGTAGGGATGGGATTCCATACCTTAGCATGATGCTAGGAAGCTCTATGGGTCAGGGAAGAACTGGATGCTTTCTTGGCTCTGCCCCTGTACTTTTCTGAAAAAGAAGGAACTGCTTCCGTGTGAAGCAAAGGGATGAATATGGCTCTCTTCCTTCCCCTGGCTGGTTTCCCCATCTCACTGCTGGTATGGAGGTGACGTGCTGGTAGCCAAGCCGTAATGCTAGAGAGCAAGCCTAGGGTAGAGGCAGTGATGCAATGGTCTTGAGCCGAGCTGCGCACAGCAGAGCCCAAAGCTATTGCCATGAATGCTCAATAACAGTAGTAACTCAATAATAACCACGTGAATGACACTGACACCTAGCACTTTTGGTCTTGTTCAGTACTGCTTGTGTTTACAGTCCCTGTACTTCTGGGGTCTGTCGTGTTGCCAGTTGCTAAATTCTACAGCTTGTTTATGCCTTTTCAATATTGAATGCTTCTTAGAGACAGGGATTGGGGTGTCAGGAGGAGGAGTAGTTCTGGAGTTGCTTCCCTGATCTGTCTCCCGATTCCTCATTTGCTTGCTCCCTTATCACAAGTCTGCTGTCTGAAGGGGAGAAGCAGCAAGAGCCTCCAAGAAGGATAGCAACTAGGGGTGAGGGTCGATAAATTGCCCTGGCAGGCTGAATAGTGCAAGCTGGACGCCCTGGGCTTAGACAAAAAAAGGTCCCAGATGAAATATTGCTGAAACAACAATAAAGTGTTAGTCTACCCTTTAAATAATACAGTTGTTTGTACAACTTCTTTGGCTCAGGTCTACCAATCTGCACTCCTACTACAACTGTCAATAAAGTCTGTGCTTCAGGAATGAAATCAATCATGATGGCAGCACAAAGCCTGATGTGTGGGAGTCAGGTATGTGAATTTTAGTGCTGTTTTATGGAAAAAACACACAACTAATGTTGTAGATCCTGTCCTACTAATGACTGTGCTCTTTGATTTGGGACTGTGTTTTGACTTGGGATAATAAAGCTAATTAGCCGGGTTTCGTTTTGCTTATGCAACCTTAATTTTATAGTCACTGAAGTGTGTTTTGGTTTAAAACAGAAAAAAATTGTGTTATAGTTAGGAAATTGTCAGATGTATTTTTAGAGCTGAGCAAATAAGGTGGATTTTTTGGGGGGTGTTTACATCCTCTCCCTACTGCTCTTACCCCCAAAAAATAATGAAGGGAATTTTCAAGCTTTCTGGTTTGAAAAATTGAAGACATTTTTATAGACTTAGTTTTTGCTGAAATGCGTTTAATCTTGACTTTCAGACACTTTAAACACTTAAGTGAATTATATAGGCATACTAAAGCAATGTAGTTTCCAAGTACATTAAAGATGTTCTAGGCGTTTTTATTGTTTTAGAAGAAGCGGAATCTATTGTTGCTGAGTAAGTGTTTTCATTGAAGAGAGCTTGATGGAGGAGAATTGCTCATCTGTCAGCTGTGTTCTAAGATTCTCTATATGATGGGGCAAATAGTATCACTTAATGGGAGGATGGGAGGATACACCATCTTCAGCAAGCCGTTAAATCCTATGCAGCAAAGAATATGGAAGAAGTGTGAACGTGAAGGAAGACATTTCAATTTTGTTTTTAATTCCATACTCAAAGCATTTTGGCAACATCTCCCCTTCTCTGAAGTGAAAGTATTGTCAGTTCAATGTAAGTTTTCGGTTTACAAAGTAAGTGGCTCATTAGTGAGAAATGTACTTGCTATTCTTTTTTTTTTTTGAACAAAAGTAAAATATTTAAGTTTTGTTGTCCCTTCTGTGAAAATAACAGTATAGCTGAGTTTAGCAACTCGGGTATATTGCTTTGGCCTTGCTCTGCGGAGAACGGCACTTTGTCCAGTGCCTACTGAAGTCGGTGGAAGTCTTGTCACTGGACTTCGAACCAGGCCCAGCACGTCTGTGTAAACAGCTACATTTGGATTTAGTAATTTACATCCAATGACTTCATGAGAGTGGTTGTGCGTTTGGTTGGTTTGACGGATGCAGGCCATGAGCTCTGAAGAGAACGGGAGTTTTCAGCTGAGCTAATCATACACGCTGTGCTGCCCGTCTCAGCAAAAGCAGAGACTCTGCCAGTTATTAGTCTCTTGGAGCTATGAATTATGGGTTTTTTTAGTATTTGTTTGTTTTTCCTGGCTGCAGACTGTGAGGTATCTGTGGTATGAAAGTCAGTGATGGTTCCCAGTGGCTGGAGTCAGCGTAAATCATCGTATGAACAATTGTATTAACTCTGCCTCCAAGTCTTTCACTTTATGGAACTGAAATGCCAGGGACTCTTCTTTCTCTGATCTGTTGCTGCTTCCATGTCTCAACTGCCCTTTCGATTTATCTGCCTTTCCAGTTTGTCTCCAGCCTTCTTTCTTTTCTTTATTACTTCATGTCACTGTTCCTGGATCTAGTTTATAATCTGTTCTGAACTAAACCGTTATTTCTCTGAGTCTTAATTTAAAGAAACTGAAAAAGCTTTCGTCTTTTTCTTATTGCTGTTTTGATGTAAAATCTTTTTGAATTTATATTAACAGCACTATTGAACTCTTAAAGACTCACGCTGCTGTGTGTGTATTTTTCATATGTTTATCCATATTTCAAATATGCCGTTAAACACAACTGTGTCTGTTCTTCACATCGTGAGTTCCTAGGGATTTTGGGGGTATAGCCTGATGAACAGTAGGAATACTTACGGTCCTTATAGCCTTGCTGTTTGTAGGTTTTCTGTTTGTTTGCTTTGTCTCAGCTTGAAAAGTGTACTAATTTATAAATGCCCATAATGATTCAGCTTAATTCAAGTTCAGTAATCATTAATTATTAACATCTCTCTTTTTGCTGGCCTTTTCAGATGATAAAACCATATTATAAGTCATCTTTCTTTACTTAGTAAGATGAAACAATATTATGTAAAACTGCAGGTACTTGTAAATCTCTGTCTCGTCTTACTGGTCTCAGATTCTGACTGTTGCTTGTTCCATAGGGATACGGAGCTGCAAATGAAGAACAAAAATGAGAAATTTACAGAAAAAGAAAGTGTTTAAAGTTAAATTTATAATTTGATCTCGGAAGCTTTTGAAGTAAAAGTGCAAGAGACTGACATGGCTCTTGCAGCTTTCTGAAGCTGCATACAAGATAGAAGTCCAGTTGTTCTGTCAGGGTGGATTAACTGCCTTCAGCTGCTGTTCCTGCTGTTTGCTTTTTAAATGCATAAAGATTTTCTTCCCTCTTTCTCTAAGACTCCTCAGAAATATAAAGCGTCCATGCTTAAGCTTTTGTTAACACTTGTTCCTACAAGAAGTCATAGACAACACGCTGCATTATTAATAATTTTCACTTGTTTCCTTTGAGCAGGATGTAATGGTTGCTGGTGGAATGGAGAGCATGTCTAATGTTCCCTATACAATGAGCAGAGGATCAACGCCATATGGAGGAGTAAAGCTGGAAGACCTGATAGTAAAAGATGGGCTGACAGATGCTTATAACCATATCCATATGGTAAGTATTCCTGTATAGTACTAAAGTATCAACCATAGGGCTGATGCAGCTTTGAAGAGCTTGCTTATAATTATTATGGAACTGCTTCATCTAGCAAACCTAGAAATGAGGAATAACGTTAACGGAGGAGGAGAACGTCTTCCATTTCCAGGCTTCCTATAGTAACTGTAATGGAGGGGCTAGACAGAAGACCAAAACAGAATAGCAAATTGCGTGTTAATATTTATCTGTCTCTGATTGAAGTCTGAATAGCCTAGAGCAGGGATTAAAAAATAAAATTCTGCTACTGATAGATTGCTGTTGCTCCATCTGTGGGAGAGAGCAGTCAAGTTATGTGATGTCTTTGACGGCACCTACTCTGTACGGTTCGGCAGGCTCACATGTTTATTTTCCCTCCCCCAATGTACATACCTCATATCTTCTGTTGGAAGGTTTGAGTCAGCTGATGTGCTTACTCATCAGCATGGTAACTTAAATTGGACAAACGACTGCAAACTTAGAATGGGTTTGGAAAACAACTGATAGCAGATAGCGAAGAACAAGCATCAGGGAAGAACAGTTGAAAAGAGAACGGCTACTTTCAGTTTACGAATATTTCTGACCTCTGCCTCTGGTAATTCACAATTGTAGGGCATTATTGATTGATCAGTTAGTGTTCTTGCTGGTGTACAGGAAAAGTTGTCATGAAGAATATTCTACTGTGATCCATATATTTGATACAGACCTCACTGCTTCCGTGCGTGATTTATTCTTTTTGCAGTATAGCGCACTCTGCTTAGGCTATTGGTTGAAATCCACTCCCACATTTCAGCCAAAATGGATTTTGATTGTGAGGATTTTTATAGGAATGCAAATAGTGGCTTTGCTAGTTCCTGTATATGGGGGAAAACTCCAGAAGTTGGTTATAATACAGGAGGTTTTAATAGAGTGGGACAATATTTCAGAACCTTTTGTCTTTATTATAGACAAGCAGCTGTAGGTTGCTTGGAAAACCTTAACAGTCTTTGTGAGAATATACAGAAAGGCCCATCCGACGGCTTTAGGAGCTTACACTTGTCTATGTTTCGGCAATAGACTACGTTGTTGGTGCTATGGAGACTTTAAATTCTTTAACTGCACAGAAGTGAACTTGCTTGTTGGAAGACTGGAGGAGCACAGTACTAAAGGGTTTTGTGTCGATTCAGTGAGTTTTCTACAGAAATGAGAAGCTGGAACAAAACCTGTTAGAACAAATCTTTCAGGTTGCCTAAATGAGTGTCTGTCTTTTTTTTAGTTTTGTCACCAGGTATTTAGACAGTGTTGGTAATGAATTATGATTGTATAATTATGATTATAATTGACCTATATAGAAAATTGTTTCATTCTACTTATTTCATTCCTGTTATTAGGCAAAAGGTATACATACTTCTATTTGTACAGTTTTTAGAGTATCAGATCCCGAAGGCTAAATAAGCCCTGTGTGTTGACCTGTTCTTGTAACCTTTGGAACAGACAGGCTAATAATGGAATGAAAACACTAGTAAGATGATGTAAACATACTGTTCTGTGGCTGAGCAATGCTCTTCAGTCTCTGAAGATATCAACCTTAAATACTTTAAAACTTACTTTTGCATGCAGTTTTTTAACTTAAAAAAAAGCCTTGTAATGAATGTTCCTTCACGGCTTTCATAATCTGGATCCAGAAAACGTTTGCTAAATCTGAAGTTCATATTCCAAAACCAGAAGTTACTATTTGATCATGACTGTGTAAATTAGAAGTGGACACCAAATATTAGTCACATTCAATTCTGGAAATCTGCTGGTTGAGTTTTTTCAGCTACGTTTGTAGTTCACGTCTCCAGAAATACCAAACCTAACGTGCCTGGTTTTCTCCAAGGGCAACTGTGCTGAGAATACTGCAAAGAAGTTTACTATTTCGCGAGAGGAACAAGACACTTTCGCCATAGGCTCTTACACTAAGAGCAAAACAGCCTGGGATTCAGGAATACTGAAAAATGAAATAGTTCCTGTCACTATTTCAAAAAAAGGTATTATGGAAAGGTGTGATAAAATGAATTTTGTTTCTCATTGAAAGCCGTAACATTGTCCTGTGTTCAGTGAAAATTGTGTTGTTTAAACATGCAGGTGTCAGGAACACTAATTTTAGATCAGCTAAGAATTTTCTGTTACGCAGACTTTCTGGTGAACAGCAGTCCGTGGCCTGTGATCTGGTTTTGGGTTTTAATTTTTCTTTAATGTTACATACCATATCATCTTCCTTTTTTATGTAAGTGGAAGGCTAGCTATTGAACTTACTTAGTATGGCTTGAGGACATCTGTGTTTTAATTTCCCTATTAATTACCTTAAAGATACGTTCTTTGTCCCTTTCATTCAGCCACCAGGAAGTACAACTGGATTTGCTGTGAATAAATTAGATTAAGGAATAATTTTTTTTTCAGTTTTCATTCATTATTTCATTAATTTCAGCATATTTCTTGACATGCATTTTACATGAGTTTACATTTTTCTACAGAAGTAAGTTGCTCAAATAAGGCAGCATTTAATCAAAGTACTGTGTTAGAACGTCTTAAGAATGGACTGTACTATAAAATACTAAACCAAATCTGAATTTCAGGAAAGCCGGATACAGAAGTGAAAGAAGATGAAGAATACAAACGTGTTGATTTTAGTAAAGTTCCAAAGCTGAAAGCTGTTTTCCAAAAAGAAAATGGTAAATATTGTTAAATTAACTGCTTAATTTTCTACCGAGTGCAAGGATACGCTGTTACAGTGAAGAGTGCTGTTCACAAGAGCTTGAATGCCCAACAGTAGTCCGTTAACTTTTAAATGTCTGCTAAGATAAAGAAACATGCTTCACAACGGCATGAACTGGCTTGGATTAAAAGACGGTCCAAGAACCTTAAACCAGTGAAAACCTCTGGTTTTGGACATTCACTTTAAAAAAGAATTAAACAGATTGGTTTCAATTTAGCTATTGCCTTGGTCGCCGCCAAGTATAAGCTCTTGTTTCAGTGGGAGCTGGAGTGCCTTTGCATAGTTACCGGTCACTTCCCCGAATCTGCAATTGATAAATCTTTCTGGCTGAATCGAAGTTGCCGCTCATTCACAGCCCTTTTTGAGCTGGAATTCTGTGTTAATGCCAGCAGTGCAGCTGACGTGGAAGGCATGATCTAAACCGGCACTTGGATAAAGATACGAATACACGTGATGATTGATTGAACTTGTTTAATCAAACTGATTTAGAAAAACAACTCATTTTTAGTCAGCTCGGTGCAACAGCTATCACCGTATTGTTGAGACCTTATGTTCAAGGGCCTACGGTAAAAAAAAATCATTAACAGGATATACCCGAGCTATATCACGCTTTCCCCTCTGCTTAAACAATGCTGTACCTTTTCTAGGAACAGTTACAGCTGCTAACGCCAGTACGCTGAATGATGGAGCAGCTGCTTTGGTGCTGATGACCACAGAGGCGGCCAGGAGACTGAAAGTCAAACCATTGGCACGGATAGTAGGTAAGCTTTTACCTTTCTTATCTTTGAGTACAGTCCTGGAAAATGCTCCCTGAGCCTCCCAGCAGGACTCAGGCTGGGAGTCCTGTCTGGCCGGTTATCTGACGTTTCTGTCATGGGACAGAACAGGTGAGCCCTTAGGCATTACGGCTGCATCTTCTCAATACAGCCCGTGAAATTTCAATTGTCGTGCCAGCAGGCTTTTGATCATAAACAGTTTTCTATATGGAATAATATTAAAAATATGAAAATGTTATAATGCGGCTCACTTAAGGCACTAGACTTTAGATGTATCTATTTCATGGACCGTTATATTCAGAATTTTTCTATCTTGGCTGGGTTTGCGGCTTGCACAAATAAAAACCGTGTATGGCAAAACCAAAAGGTCTTTAAACAGCTTTTGTGATTTTTACAGCTTTTGCAGATGCTGCTGTTGATCCCATTGACTTCCCAATTGCACCTGCACATGCTGTTCCCAAGGTAGGAATAAAACGGAGTGATTTTTGAAAAAGCACTGGATCATCGGTTCATCCCTCAGTGGATCTTCCTGTAATTCAGATCGAAATTATAATTACGTCGTAAATACAAAAGAGCACGTTTTTTAGAGGATCGAGGCTAGAACGCAGATTTTCAGAGTAACAAATTTCTCACACCTATTTTGAAAGAGAATATTGTTTTATACTGCTTTCACCAACTTTGGGCTTGTTTACACTTTTGAAGCTTTGCAGCTAGTATGGCTAAAAGGCAAAATAAATACAGTTATACAAGTATCAACTAGTTCAAAAAGGAACTGACGACAAGTGTATGGCGTGAGGCAATACTGCATCGGTTTACATGTACTTACTGTAGCAGCGGTCTTAGTACAAGTGTGATGCAAACGTATTCTTGGCGCAGGGCGCTCTCCATTCCTTCTTTTGTGACAACTCAAGTTTGTGCTTCAGTACCTCAATTTTGCTTTTTCCCATCTGACAAAGAGGTTCCGAAACGTGAACTTGAATCAGGCTATGGGCAGCCTGAGTCACCGACTTCAAAATAGACCCAATTATTTCTATAATTAGCTTCCTAATTTTTTTTGTAGTAGTAATTGGTTTTATTATTATTTCTAGATTCTAAGTGAGACAGGCCTGAAAAAAGAAGATATTGCAATGTGGGAAATCAACGAAGCATTCAGTGTTGTGGTGCTGGCCAATATTAAAATGCTGGGTATTGATCCGCAAAAAGTAAACATTAACGGAGGCGCCGTCTCTCTTGGACATCCAATAGGGTAAGTAAAATCAGCACGGGTTTTTGTTCTGCACAGAGGCGTGGCTTTCTAGACATACTGCTAACACATTTACCTTTATTCTCGAATTTAATGCAAGTAGGAAGGGTAATAGGAAGTTTCCTGCCAAGTACATAGTGACTTTAATTCAGGTGTTAAATTTCAGGGTACCTTGAAAAGAGCAGGATCCCATTTTTCTCTTCACAGTTAGTTATCACCTACTTCTATAAAGGGTTTGCTTGTTACCGTAGCTATATGGATTTATGAAGTATTAAAAGCAAATCACTATTAACATGACAGAATAAACAATAATAATTAATCAAGTAGTTAAGCTAGTAAAATTTACAGGTAAGCTTAGGAAAATAGTGAAGGATACGGTACAGGGACTTTTATTTTTCTTACACGTGCAAAGCGAAATTCCAGGTCTCGTCGAAGCTCTTTTGGTAGTGAATCCACCTAATGCAGCAGGCAGGGATAGCCTGGGGGAGGTTGGTGGGTCTTTTGGTTGAAGTTCTGTCATCTGGTTAGAGGAGTCAGATCACCTGCCGTGTTCCCCAACGGCTGGAACTTACTCATGACTTAAGTACATCCCATTAAAACTCCCTAAGGGTGATCGTGCTCCACGGTCCAGGCCTATGAGGAAAAAGCCATTTCAAAACCTGTAAGTAAATATAGCTGTGAAGTAACCACGTTGTACCTCGGGAGCAAGTAGGAGTACTTCACGGTTCGTAAAAAGCTCTAATCGAGGCATAACCCCGCAAGGATGCTGACATCTCCTTTGCAGCATCAGCTTCTTCTGATAAGGGAATATGATTTTTTGGCCTTAAAAGTTAATTTCAACAGTCTAATGACAAACTTGAAACGTCTGGTTTTGCACATTAGGTGGATCGGAGTGGCATGCTGCAGTATATCAAGTTGTAAGCAAATAAGAAACGGTTTGAAATTGATCGTCCTGTGGCTTTGGTTTCTGTGGTAGATTCGTTACCTTCTTTGAAAGAGCTTTGCTACATGTAGAGATACTTCGTAATAAACAGACTTCCTTAGAGGCGATTTCCTTTTCCGGAAGAAACTTTAGCCAAACATGGAGTTTTTGTTTGTGTATGCATAAGAATCCTTCTGCTTGTTAAGTACTGTAGCTAGAGAAAAATAACCTGCATTGCATCTGAACGTAGACGAAAGGGTTGGTTTGGTCTTTTTGTTGGTGGTTTTTTCCCCTCCCGTGAGTCAGTGCTATAGTCTGCCAACTATCCTGTGTGGGTCAAATTAAGAATTTCCTTTAAACTGAGCTATGTACATTTTTTCTTTTATGTAGAATGTCTGGAGCAAGAATCGTTGTTCACATGGCCCACGCGCTGAAACAAGGACAATATGGTCTTGCAGGAATTTGCAATGGAGGAGGAGGTGCTTCTGCAATACTGATAGAGAAGTTGTAGGCCCCAATAGTGTTGGAAACAAAGCCTTAAACGCCCTCTGAACAAAGGGATGAGTGGTACCCGTTACATCTTATTTATCGATACGTGGATGAATCCCTTAACCGCTATTCTGAAATTTCTTAAAACGTCATTGATGCAGATGACTGGGCTTTTATTACTTTGACTCAGTGCAAGTTTTTATACAGTACAAATAAAAACCGTCAAATTATGATAATGTCTCGAGACCTGAGAATAAAGAACGTTTGTTACCTGTGGCTCCTCTGTCACTGGCGTATGGTTTCTCAAATGCCACTGAAAATGAATTCTCTTGGTAACTGAGTAACTCACGTAGTGCTGCTGCTAGAAGGAGCTGGTTTCTTACAGTTTTGCCGCTTCATTTTCTGTTTTAAGGTTACTAACTACTAAGTGATTTTCACGGAAAAAATAACTTCACTCAAAGGTTGGTTTTCTGCTGTTGTGTACCTCAAAGCCAGGTCAAATGCAAAAAAGGAGCCCTTCCATAGCACGCACTCACCCTGGCTTGGGGTGTAGTATCCCAGTGAACTAGACGAGATGGTGTTGGGACTTACGGATGCAAGTACTGATACGGCCTCAAAATGCTCCTGCTCCTTTTGTGTTCATTTCAACCTCTGTCATGTACAGTTTTGTCAATATGCTTTTAAGCAGAGACGGGATTCAGGACCAACAGAACACAACTGCCGTTACTGCTGCTTCACTAGGAGCTGCCCAGTACCTGGCTGCGCTCTTGAATGCACAGTTAAGGCTTCAGGAATACAGGGTTAAGCATTCCTCTTGCAGTATGGGGAGACAGGAAGGTACTTGCCTGGAATGAATCTTGTTCAAGACTTCAGCGAGAAGTTCACGCAGTTTCTTCGGCAGGCTTTTTACCAGAGGGCAAAAATGGGCCCGTTCACCAGTATAAAGCCTGTTCCCACCTCACCCTTCTCACAAGGGATAAACATCAAACACTTCCAAGTTGCTTGGCTGGGATTTAGGACAACTACTTTCTTATTTTGACATTAGTTTCAACAGGAAGTCATCTTTACCCCCTGATTGTCTTTACATGTTCCTCCATAAAGCAGGGGGAAGAAATACTTGGACTGGGATGTAGTGGGCTCTGTTTGTTGCTGGGAAGGAATGTACTTGTAGAGGGAGCAAATGAACAGTGGGGTTTAAATGCAGAGAGGAAATGAGAAAGGCAAAAGCCCAGCTAGAACGCAACCTGGCCGCTGTCGTTAAAGACAGCAAAAAATGTTTTTACAAATATATCAATGACAAGAAGAGAGCCAGGGAGAATCTCCATCCTTTATTGGATGCGGGGGGGAACATTGTCACCGAGGATGAGGAAAAGGCTGAGGTACTTAATGCCTTCTTTGCCTCAGTCTTTAACAGGCAGACCAGTTATCCTCAGGGTACTCGGCCCCCTGAGCTGGAAGACAGGGATGGCGAGCAGGATGAACCCCCCATAATCCAAGAGGAAGCGGTCAACGACCTGCTACGCCACCTGGATGCTCACA